GCGACGAGACGCGATCGTCGTTCGCGTTTCGACGCGTTTCCGTAGTGTCTCGGCGCGCTGATCGAATCCGTAGCGAAAATAGTAGGAAGCGCGCGCAATGTGGGAGATTGTACGCTGCAAAACTGTCGCCTCACGTGAAATAAAAAAAAAAAATGGCATTCTGGTACGTAAGGTTAATAAGCGGATGATAATGTTAGCCGTCACCGTAGCCGGCCAGTAGTGGGCCGCGAAAAAACCGCATAACTGCACCGCCGTTGCGAAGTAATAGAAAACGTATAACTAAACTCCGTGTATATAAGATGCAACGTAGCGTTTACGACTATCCGCCGTCTCGAGTGGCTAAGCAGATTCCTTTAGAAACCCCGAATTTGATATTTTTTCGCGCTGTATATGCATCGAGGGGATTGTAGTATGTAATTAAGATCGTATTTGCGAGAGATTAGCGGAAATTCGTCCTGCGAAGTCGAATCCCCGAGCGAGCGAGCGAGCGAGTCGCTTGTTCCTGTTCCTTATCGAACGAGAACGAATTAATTCACCCAGAAAAAGAAGTAATCTAATTGTAAAGTGACTTTTCCCGCAGTTTCATGTTCTAAGCGAAGCTCTTTCGCAGAAAAAGGATTCCTCCTTCGATGAAGCGATTAAAGTGAAGCGTTCGTCTAAAATTTATTAGATATTATTCTATTTGTTTTCCTCTTATTTCAAGAGGATTTCCTCTCATATCAATGAATTTTCCTCTTGCATGAAGAGGACTATGTCGATTTGAATGTCGGCTTCTTTTGCTCAGTCATGCTCTACCTCCGGACATGAACGAAAAAATAATCATATGCTCATGGATCAGAATATTCGGGACGCTTTTTGAAAAAAGTATGTGTGTTGCTGTAATATGTAACAAAGATAATTTACCCATATTTTGTCAGATACAGTTTGCAATGTATTGCAAGAAGTTGAATAATATATTCCCTCTTTTAACTGTGTCTCATACAATTAGTTATGATGCAGCTGTGAAGTCCGTAACAGAACAGATTGGAAATTTATTTGTTATAATGATTTTATTTCGTTCATGCTTACTTATTATAGAACTGGAGCCAGAAGTATATCTACATATGTATATCACTTTTCGCTATACGTTATAATAATTTTTTCAAATTAACCAGTAGAACCAGTAAGAAAGTACGGCAAGAATAAATAATAATCCTCTCGAGGAAAGATTAAATAATCCGTGTATCAGAGGAAATTTATATTAAAATCAATCAGATTTGCATCATACAAATAATATATAATTCCTCTAACTTTGAGAATAATCTGTTTATAATATTTCCCTCTTAATTTTAAAGGAATTCTAAAATCCTCCAAAATTAAAATAACTCCGCATGTTCTGAAATTACTTCTTTTCGGGTGAATCAATTCTCGTCCCTTTCCTTGTTGCAACGCTTGCGAATTCAAAGAAAATACTTGAGAGCACACACGTGCGTCGAAGCGATCCATCTTCCGACACTCGGTACTGTTCGCTCACTCACGCTGTTATTATTAATTCCGTATCAGAGAAGAAAGAAAAAGGTCAGATTAATCGCGGTCGTGGAAAAAATACCGACGTGAAAAAATTAATGTATATTCAATAGAACGAAGCGAGAAGTCGAGGGTGCATTCGCGCGCGGTTCGGGGATTTGATTTCGCGATTGAATGGATTTTCGCCGATCTCCCCCAGTGCAATTATTTTTCGCAGAACAGTTATGTCGCTGGCAGCACTTACAATCGCCCCTACTACGCATACTCGTACGTGACAATAGAATATTTGCCGCCGATGAACGTGTTGAATTTGTTCTCGCCTTTTAATTGCCAGCGAAGCGACAGCACGATCGGTTCGCTGAGTCCTGAGGTGTTTTCGGCGATGAATATTTAAGATTTTTATGAATAAACGAGCCCATCGCCTGCGTCTCGGAGGTGGGTGAATATTCTGGACTAGATAATGATTATAGTTTTGTTTAAACGATATGAAAAAGAATACTTTGTATTTTCCGGAGAGAACGATTCTCTGTCGATGCTAAGAATCATTATCGCCAAGCAACTTTTCGTAATAAAAATCTATGCGAAGGTCATCCTGATTACTTGAATCGGCCATTCCCGATATGAGCGCACAACGAGTTCACGACGACGCGAGGAGCAGAACCGACGCGAAGTATTTACGTTTTCCTTGCACATTGTTATACATGTCCGAGCGTTTCGATTAATTCGCCTTTGTACCTTAGGCAAAATAATTTCAGGATGTTACGAATGCAAGACGAGATTCGTCGAGTGCGAGAACTCAATGACACTTGCCCGCGTATGCAAAAAAACCCCACAAACAAGTGGGTCTTCTGTCCCATAAAAGTGTGAAGCTTTTTCTTTGTTTTGCATTTACGCAGATTGCAATGCGATTCGTTTTCACCGAGTTATTCTACATTGAAACGAAGACCGCACTTTGACCTTGATCGCTCACGGTATAGGCTAACGAATCGGTGTACGACACTCGCTAAGCAATAAATAAAAAACTCTGAAAGTTCCCTCTTCAAGGTGTATATGTATCGCATTTTTGATGAAAATCAATTCTCAGTGTAAAGACTTACCTGAAACCTGAAACATGAGGTGGTCAATTAAACAGTCACCATTTTTTATTTAACTCCGTTCTATTAACTGTATCTGTAAAGATAAAGAGCAGCAACATTATGAATATTAATATTTCTGAAAAGTACAGACTTAAAGCTTGAAAATGCCTCTTCAAGCATTCATCGTCATTCTTACCCAAGTTGCAACCTGTTAAACTCTGCTTATGTTTCATGGTAAGTGCGTCCGACTAGCCTTTGAGTCATACTACTTGCAAGATGTAATCGGCGTCTCGTTATGTACGGTGGCGACTCACAGCGGAGGTTTTGAAATCAAAACGATGTAACCCCCAATAGTCTAGACGCGAACTTTTATCAACCCACCAATATTTATCGACTACATATTACTTTCACGTGCAATTGTCAAATTGCGAAATCGAGTCTCGGACGCGTTGAATTCACCGAGCCAGGGTTGGGAAAATACTTTGTATCTAGTCACAGTTACGGTTTTTTTCACTGAAAAAGTAACTACAGTAGTTACAGTTACAAATTACTGATCTTCAAAAATAACACGTTACAGTTACAGTTATTTAGAAAATAACCAGTCGTCCCGCTTTCAGTTACTTTTTCACAACAATTGTGCCGTTATTTTAAATTTCGTAATTGTGTAAATTCCTTCAATTTTATATAAAAGTAATTTGTTGATTATTATATATTCCTCATATTGTATATAATTTTTTACAAATTAGACTCATTAATTTAAATAAGCAATTCATATTTATTCTTTAAGACTGTTAATAACAATTAGTTTAATCGATGAAAGCGAATGAATTTGATGAGGATAATAAATACTAAAAATGCTAAAAATAATCTTAACATCAAAAATTAGATTTTTTCACTAAAAAATATATTGATACTTTATAAATAAAGACTTACACTCATATGTTTTTTGAAATTTGCAGTTGAAGTTCTACTTGCATGAATAATTTTTTTGCCAGCGCAAATTTTGCAGAGAAATGCTCAGTTGTTCTCGTTTCCAAATTTTTGTTGCAATTCGAGTATTTCTGCATATATTGACCATGACATTTTACAATTCTTCTCCGAAGATTGAGATGTTTTATTCATTGTTTAATTTTTTATACAACTAAAACTGCGCAGCATATTTCACGCTGAACGTAGGTTATGTTAACAAATAAGGGCGACACGCGACGGAAATATCCAATAGGCGTACAATCTTTTTGAAAGAAATACAAGTTACGTTCGGAGAGGAGACTATCAGTGCTATTGCGTCATTTTATCCTTGTTTCACATCTAATAAACGATAAAGATAGATGACGCGTTTTCGCGATAGCGCGTTTTCGAAATGCAGCTGGAATATGCAGAACTGTATGTGCTTATTGGATATCAAGCATCGCATGTCGCGTTATCGTGCTGGTCTGCCAGAAACTTAAGTTTGAAATATATAAAATAACTATTAAATTAGTTATCAAACAAATGTAACTAAGTTAAGTTACAGTTACAGATGGAAGAAACGGAACAAAGTTAAGTTATAGTTACCAAAAAAAAAGTAACTGTAACTTCGTTACAAGTAACTTCTCAACCCTGCGAGGAACTTATTTATTCCATACGTACCGCGGCTGCAAATAAATAATCGCGCCTTCGAAGAATAAAGATTACGCGAGTGATCCAGAGATATCGTCAGTGCTTGACGCAACAAGTACTTTTTGTTTCTCTCCGGACACGCATTGTGAGATCTGAGATGGCGCATGGTATGAAGCTGTAGCTCGAAATAAATACCATAAATAATAACAAATATGGAGTAATGGGAAAAAGATATCAGAAGGTATATCAACATCGACGAGATAATGCAAAAGATTGTCAGCATCTTCATAAAAATGCTCTGACGGTCTTTAGCATAAATGTTGGAAAAGGAACCCGGAAGAGCCTGGAGGTAATTCAAGAGTCATGACAATACCGACTGTTTCAGCCGCACGGAGATAACACGAACATTTGTATCCTTATTTTGTTTCTGTAGAATTCTGTAGAATTCTTGTAGAATTCTTGTAGAATTTAATTTTTAAGCAGTGAAAAGGGGAGATTTATACAATTAATCTATACGTAAACTTAAATTGCCTGAGACGAAGCAAGAATGTCGTGTTATCTTCGGTGTAGCTGAAGCAGTCGGTATTGTCATGACTCTTGAATTACCTCCAGGACCATTATTCCCGAAAATTGGTGAAAAATATATACGGATATTTTATCAGCGGAGCAATTTAATTGACTGAGAATCGTGATATCCAGCGACATTGATGAAATATCGTATGCGACACTTTACAAGAATACAAGCTCATGCCCCTCGGAGCCCCTTTGTCAATACGAAAATTTACCCAAGGCCGACAGTCTATAGCATTACCTCGTCAGTGGCTAAACTCTACCGAACTTATACTCGCCGAAGCTTAGCAAAAGCATGATGCATGTGGTGATACGTCCGTTTATCAGATCTTGGAGGCGAGAAATAATGAAGAAGTTGCATTGCGAAATGAGGATCGCCAACCGTTGTAGAAATTCGCAACCTGCACGCTCCATTGCGCTCGTATCTGCTCATGTGAGATTTTACGACCGAGCGTCGATAACGTCCTTCGCGTGTTTCGTATCAGAAGCCTCATGCGTGTAATCTGCCACTGCAATCATTTCGCAAACGTGTGACGATCACATGATTCTGGCTGGCACCTTTTTGTACTCCAAAATATCGAGATAGCAATGCTGTGTTAGCTTACTGAAGATTAAAACTCATATTGACAGGAACAGTCAAGTTCTGGATCACGTGATCAGTCTGGCATCTATTTTTCGACGACGTTGACGTATATAGGAAGGAACTTTGCATTTTGTGTGTAAATATATCGTTACAGAAGGTTTCTGTGTTTGCGTCCAGGCGACGAATTATCGTGAACAAAAGGACAAAGGTCAGTCGGAAGTTATGACGAGGATACAATACTCTATGGCGCGCAGAGACGAAAGCATCGTCGATGATTACCATGGCACCGAGGTTAGAGCACTGTGCACAAAAAATGTATTTTAATCTATGAACGTATCTTTCTCCTTCCCCTTCTCTTTCACTCTTCTCAATTATATTCCGTGATTTCTATCTATTTAATATTTGAATCTAGGACATCTCTTGTTCGCTTCAAATGTTACACAAATTGGGACTAAGATATTCTTACATAATCTGTTTTAATTATGTTTTCCTCTTGAAAGAAAATTGAGGATATTCTATATAAATATATATAAAAAAAAACGGATATTCCATCCGCAGATAGCAGATCCTTACAGATGGCTGGAGGATCCAGATTCGGAAGAAACAAAAGCTTTCGTTGAAGCTCAGAACGCTATTACAAAGCCATATTTAGCTTCATGTAGTGTGCGTAATAATATTCACAAGAGATTAAAACAATTATGGGACTTCCCAAAATACTCGTGCCCTGCCAAGTATGGTGGGAAGTACTATTTTTATAAAAACACTGGCTTACAAAACCAGAGGTACAGTATATTTATATTTATCATATATTATTATTACGTGACTATTGTCATGGTATCTATTGTGAACTTATAGTTTAAACGCAAATATAAAATTTTGTTCGCAGTGTTTTGTATGTACAGGATACTCTTGAGAGCGAACCAAGAGTGTTTCTTGATCCTAATACTTTCTCCGAAGATGGGACTGTTGCCATTACCAGTAGTAGTTTTAGTGAGGATGGTAGCATATTTGCGTATGGTTTATCTAAAAGTGGTTCTGATTGGAGCACAATCCATTTTTTAAATGCGGAAACTGGTATGATTGAAGATTTTTGCAATTCTATTGTGCACAATGTCTGTGTACATCGAGTACACATAATAGTGTTGGGAAAGTGATTTCGCAAAAGTAACTTGGTTTCGTTATTTGTTACCATCATCTGTATCTTATCTAGGTGAAAAGTATCCTGAAATTTTGGAAAAAGTAAAATTCTCCCCGATTACATGGACCCACGACAACCGCGGCATTTTTTACGGGCAGTATCGAGATCAACAAGGAAAAACGGATGGCTCGGAAACGTTAGGTAATCAAAATCAAAAGTTATGCTATCACGTTGTTGGTACGTCGCAGTCGGATGATGTTGTTGCGGTTGAGTTTCCCGAGGAACCATTATGGAGGATGTAAGTTTTGCAAGGGAAAAAAATTCATGTGTTAGAAAAAAAAAAATACTATATTACATTAAACACTTGTAATAAATGTACCTTTACTTACATCAGAGGTGCGCAAGTCTCTGATTGTGGTAACTGGCTCATTATTACCCCTCTGAAGGACTGCAGGGATAATTTAGTGTTTTTTACACCGTTAAAAGCTGAAATGAAGATAACTACGAATTTACCATTAACACAAGTTGTCGATGTACTCGAAGCTGACTATGAAGTTAGTAGCGAACATTATCCGCTCCTAAATTTTCTACTTCTAATATCTTCACCCTAATATCTTCAATGACACTTTGTGGACTTTCAGTATGTGACTAACGTTGGTACCAAAGCTGTGTTCCGCACAAATAAAAATGCACCTAACTACAAGTTGATAGCCATAGATTTGTTAGATCACGGACAAGACAAGTGGGTAGATCTTTTGCCGGAGCATCCTGAGAACGTGCTAGACTGGGCCACTGCTGTGGACGGAGATAAGTTTGTTGCTTGTTATATACAGGATGTTAAGGTAAATATTGAGGCAAATCATGATTACGATAAAAATTATTATGTTGCAGTGGCAATAACAATGCACTCTGACGATCGAATATATAATTTGCAGAATATCTTGCAACTGCATTGCTTGAGTACCGGTAACGTACTTAGAACATTCCCTCTCGATCTTGGCACCGTTGTTGGATTCTCAGGCGAGAAGAAGTATTCCGAAATATTCTACCAGTTTACGTCGTTCTTGACACCCGGCATCATATACACAATTGATTTGAAGAAGGAAGAAGAGCCACGAGTTAGTATTTGTTTCGTTTTAAGTGCTACAAGTATGAGATGCTATTTGGAGCACGGTGCCTATTAAATACAATTATAGATCGACTTAATAACGGTCGCTTTCAGGTACTGCGAGAGATTAAAGTGGAACACTTTGATGCGAGTTTATACAAGACTAGTCAGATATTTTATCCGAGCAAGGATGGTACAAAAATTCCCATGTTCATAGTGACGAAAAGCGTATGTATATATTATACAACAAAATTTCCGTTGCATGCTGTGATAAATATCGATCGGGTACTATTGAAGATGTCAACTATATTGAGTAACCGAAGGGTCCGTCTTTGTAACCGTTCTCGCTTTATGGTTGTTAAATTTGAACCACAGACGCGTGATCTTTGATAGTACTTGGTCGGTGTTAAAAATCAGGGGATTAGACAAAGTTTTTAACTTAGGACGCTGTACTGGACGGAACCATGCCAGCTTTACTTTACGGATACGGTGGCTTCAATGCAAGTATTCAGCCTACGTTCAGTGTTACAAGACTCGTTTTTATACAACATTTAGATGGGGTACTCGCTGTTGCCAATGTTCGTGGAGGAGGGTACGTGGCGATCCAACGTACGGGGAAACTGCTCCGGAACATTTGTGTTGGTTCGTACGAAATATCATGCTTCGTGTTGCAGGGAATATGGAGAAAAGTGGCACAACGCGGGTCGCTTCTTCAATAGACAAAATGTATTCGACGATTTTCAGTATGCAGCCAAGTATCTTATTGAGAATGGATACACCAGTTCGGCGAAGTTAACGATTCAAGGCGGCAGTAATGGTGGTTTAGCTGTCGCCACTTGTATAAATCAACGACCTGATTTGTTCGGCGCGGCCATAGCTCAAGTGGGGTTAGTTAACGAGCAATGAGAACTATTGTGTTACAGTGCATTCAGATTATTCGTCTTTCAATTAATCGCTCTTAAACGAGACCCAACACACGTGTACACGATTGCATCGGATATATAAGTAGATGAGATACGCGATTCACGCCGCTAAAATTTCGATGGGAATTTCAGAGTCATGGATATGCTGCGTTTCCACAAGTTCACCATCGGTTCCGCCTGGGTCTCGGACTACGGAAGCGCGGATGATCCCAAGCATTTCCAGAATCTATTGAAATACTCACCGTTGCACAACGTCAAAGTACCACAGGACGATATACAGTACCCGGCGACGTTGCTTCTGACAGCCGACCACGATGACCGTGTCGTCCCACTGCATACTCTTAAATTAATAGCGACTCTTCAATATACTCTTGGAAACGTACCAAAACAAACCAATCCTTTACTCGCAAGAATAGATACTAAGGCAGGCCACGGAAGCGGGAAACCAACCATGAAAGTAGTAAGTGTTCTCGCAATCCGATATATCTATGAACGATTGCATTACGAACACATATCTGATTAATTTAGAAGGCGCCGATTATATATAAGGGAGAATATTTCGTTTCAGATTGAGGAGAGCACCGATATCTTATCATTTATCGTGCAGTCCTTGGGCTTGGTATTCAAATCGTAATTAAAGCTTGAAGCAGCAATACGCGGATCCAATATGTTGCGTAAGTATTGCAGGAATCAAAGAACCGTAATGTGATACACGTCACTAAATTCTATGTGGTTATTGTGTGTAACGCAAAAAGCATTGTCGCGGACTCATCCAATCGTGCTTCGATCACAAATTGTTTTATAATAATGTGTTTCTATTGCCAAATAAAAACTATGAAATTTATACTTCACACTATACACACCGGCAACTTTTCGTAACACTCTCTCCCTCTCTCTGCGAACTCTGCGCCCGAATCCATCGCCACGTAATCCCAAAAACTAATATATATTCAGTATTGGGAAAGTTACTTTGCAAAAGTATCTATCGTATTATAAAAGTAAAGGTATTGTAAAAGGTATTGTAAAAGTATCTAGTTACGGTTTTTTCACTGAAAAAGTAAGTCACAGTTACAAGTTACTGACTTTCAAAAGTAACATATTACAGTTATAGTTATTTAGAAAGTAACGAGTCGTTATACTTTTAAGTTACTTTTTTACAATAATAGCGCTATTATTTTAAATTTCGTAATCGTGTAAATTCCCTCAATTTTATATAAAAGTAGTTTGTTGATTATTATATATTCCTCATATTGTATATAATTTTTAAAAATTAGATTCATTAGTTTAAATAAACAATTTATGTTTATTCTTTAAAACTATTAATAATAACTGGACAGAGAAATGTTCAATTGTTCTCGTTTCCAAGTTTATTACTATTAAATTACTTATTAAATTAAACTATTAAATTGGTTACTAGTTATCACAAACAAATGTAACCAAGTTACAGTTATAGAGAAAATAGTTATGGAAAAAATGAATCTGAATTAGGTTACCAACAAAAAGTAACTGTATCTGCAAAATTCGTTACAAGTAAACGAGTTACTTCCCAACTCTGTACATATTTATATTCAAGGGCCTGTGTTTGTTTGCTGCGATTGATATTATCGCGCAGCCGTTTATGTCGGAAGCGCGGACGACCACGACGTTCTCTTAAACGCTAAAGGATACAATAATTGTATATTCTCTGTTGAACTCTGGTATTATAATTACGATATATTTAGGGTGTCAGTAACGGTAACAGCGCTCGAAGCAATCGGTGATACAGCAGCTGTTACAAAAGTCGTGGTGGTTCTCTTACGGATTACCGATACAACGGCGATTTCACTGTGCGTGAACTAATATTATGACGGTAAAATTAACAATCCTGCCCCGGTGAGCCCCGAGTTTACATAACGCGCTCGCAGACATTGCGCTACGCATCCTCGAGGAATGTATAAAAAACGGTAAGAAGTCACCGCAGGATTGTATATGTCACCGCAGCTAGTGTGCACGACCTTCGGCTAGAGATAAGATCAAACGGAGATAAACTACACGCGGCGCATATCTTTCGTGGTGAAGACCAGCGCTAGACGATAGCAAGGTAGCTGCGTCACGCTCGCGATATTTTCTCGACTCTAATTTACGAATATGTCAGAGCTCCTGCTGATCGAAGCCGCTGGTGAACATCGCCGCGAAGTATTGCGAGAAGAATTTCCCCAAATATTGTTCCTCCTTGACTGGCCAGACACCTTCCAGAAAGCCAATATGTCCGCCACGCGACGTCACCACGACGGCCACGTTTTTGCTCTTGCTGATCTCCTTCAGAGGTATCGCTGAAAGTATCCGTTGGGGAATCTTTACACGTCGAGCCGTTTCGCAATGCAGGGCGCAATCGAGAAGGCACAAGCCTGTCACAAGCCACGAACGATCATCACAGCTCGTTTTGTCTCGCTTACCTTTCAGCGGCTGGAACGGGTCGTCCGCCGCGTTCAGACACAACGTCGGTACTTCGATCAGATGCAACTTGTCGTGGATCGTCGCGTTGCTGTAATAGTCCTCGACGTCCTTGTAGCCGAATTGCTTCGCCGTAAAGTGCGAGTCGAATTCCCTTATCGTTTGGCTCTGTCGCGAGTAGAATGCAACAAAAGTAACATCAGCACGGCGCATCAGATCACGAAAATATCTTCCAGGCAGATACAGAACAGCCTCCAGAACAGACTTTTCAGAGATGCTTTAGAGCCGCTTGAAAGCCGCTCTTTATTTCTTTTAGACGTTTCTAGGATGTCTGTCATAGCAAATTTTTGCTGTCTGGGCTGCGACTCTCCTCCGTATCTGCGTTTAATTGGAATGAGCTGACACGATGACGACAAAACGACGTACCTTGAGGATGGTGTCCATATCCACGTTGAGGGGGCCGATGTCGGAAGTGTTATACTTCTGTATAGTGCGACGTAGATTGCTAGCTAGGTGCTTGTTCAGCATTAGATTAAAGTAGTTCTCCTCCGTGTTCTTCAACGCGGCGAACACGTTCCATGGTACCGAGATAATAAGGCAAGCTTTCAGTTTGGTTCTCGCCGTTAGGCCTCCTTGCGCCAGGTAGTTACCTAGAATCAACCTGCGCGCGACGAAAGGGGCGCGTACAGATCACATTGAATTAAGCTGAGGGAGAACGAAACTCGACACCGTGCATCCGGGAAGAGAGAAACTGGTCGCTTACCCTCCCATGGAGATTCCGGTGGCTCCGAGGATCGCGTGAGGATGAAGCTTCTTCACGTGCTCTATGACTTCGGTTAAGTCGTCGTAGTTTGCGGCGCAGTACGTTCGCGGGGTCTGCAGGTAACGAGAGGAACATATTATTCTCGATGATGCGACAGAGGTGATGCCGCATTGAGACGGAGGAAAGCGGTCAGAGCGTTACGCTTCGACCTGGGATCAAACTGGTCAAACTTCGCGCGCAAAGACGAGCTGGACTCCATCATTGACCGCGTTCAGCAGAACAAAGTGATCAGAGAGCGCTTAGTGATTATTGTCTGTGATTGGAGCATTCTTTTAGATTCTTCATAGACCCAGAAGTATTTACCAATCGGGAGCGAGATTCAGTGGAAAATCTAGTAATGTTGTCCAACTGTCGAGTCTGCTGAATGCAGCCATTGTTGACCGCTTCTCAGCGACCGATCCTACCTTAAGCTTCATCCCGCCTAGACCTCTGTTGTTGAAGATCACGCATCGTATCCCGATCTTTCTCGCGGCTGACACCAGGCACTTGATGTACTCCGCTTGGCTGCCACCCGTGAGACCCGGCAGGATAATCACGATCGGCGAGGTAACGGAGCAGTCCTTCTCAGCCCAGTCCAGAGCCACCTCGCCGCCATCGGACAGAGTCAGGATTTCTCTGTTTTGACAGAGAAACGGAGTCTGTTTATTAGTGTGTGCGAATTCCTGGCCGCTGTTGGGCGCGAGCGAGGTGCCGCGTGTTCACCCCGACTATTCCCTGCGATTTCCTCGCACCAACCTGCGGTATTCGACATGTGGCAGTATTCGGGACCTCAGAATGCTGGCGAAGATGGTCTGCGCCCGCGATTCGAAGCACCATAACGTCGGCCAGAATTTGTTCTGCACCAGCGGGATGTTCGCCTCCAGGAACGAGCGGAACGGCCCGTTGGCGCAAACCAGCAGAGGTGTCTGAGTAATCAAAATAATAATGATTCACTTTTCATAATTTAACCCTTTGTGTTGCATGTTTCTTTATTTCTAATGGATATAATTTTGTGAAACTGTGAAAAATACGAAATTCAAAATGGCGGACCCAATATGGCGGACTAAATTTTTAAAATCAGCCGAATTCGCTTGAAATTTGTTATTTAAGGGTTTTCAAGGTTTTCGAGTTTTTAATTACAAATTCGTTATCGAAAATTCGAAATACCAGAACTATGACGGATATATACGATAAGGTTCGGTTGACACTCAGGTCAGGTTGCCCGGTTCTCAAGCACAGTCAGGTATAGCGATACTGCTGTCGTCAGCAGCTCACGCAGATCGCCACGACGCGGCACGCCTTCTAGACTGGTCATTCAGACCCCAAAAATTTGGATACGACATAACAATATCCTGTCTGCTCTGACACTTCGCTCGCTCACTGCCTATTCTAGAAAATCTCTGAATTTCGAGCATGCGAAAACAATAATTACTCGACAATTGATTTATTGCTCTTTATTTTTAAAATTAAATATAATAAGCAACATTGCTTCTAATTTTGTATTTTTCATGCCGGATTCGTATTCAGCGACTTCAAGAACCCCCGAATAACAAGTCTCAAGCGAATTCGACTGATTTTGAAAAACGATCATCTAAAAGTAAAAAGATATACATTCCTCGTACATGTATAATCGTATGATTAGCATTAGTTAAATATTTAGCATTAGTTAAATATTTGAACGGCGGAACATTGTTACAGCTTTTTACGTAAGAAGCTAAACATGCGTGGCTGGGAAGTCGCCAGTGACAATTGGTTCTTATTTGCTACTTTCTTTCGATAATCGAAAATTCCGTCCGCCATATTGGACCCGCCATTTTGAATTTTGTATTTTTCACACCGGATTTGTATTCAGCGATCCCAAGAAGCTCCAGATGATGATTTTGAAGTATACGTTATTACTTAAAATTTCATGCAAACGAATTTATTCTCTGAAAACGACAGTTTTGTTCAGTATATGCTTATTAATAACAAATTACTTATTTGAAATGACTCTAAAAGTTGATGCGTTAGAGGAACATTTTAGTAGTCCGACAATACCAAATATGCCAAAGAAATATGTGAAAAATTTAAATTATTGGAAAAACAAGCTTGGATGCTAGGTGACACTCTGGAGGGATCACTAGCAAAGGGTTAAATAATCACTCATTCTGTGTTTTACTTCCGTGTATATACACGAGGGCGGCACGTGGCACCAGCGAGAAATATATTCCGTTCGCAAAATTTTCCGACTGCACTATTTTATTTATCGGTCAAATAACCTTGAAGGGGTGAGAGGGGGGGAGAGAGAGAGAGAGAGAGAGAAAAAATAACATTAACTAATCATGAATAATTCATACGCACTCGCTGCGTGGGTTGTCGAACCGTGTTCAGTTATTACGGTGTTTGATTTGTATTATTATTTATTGCAAATGATTGCAAAAACAACGGCAGTGTTGCAATTACGACATGCGACGACAGAAGTTATCGAAAGAAAGTAGCAAATAAGAAATTGTCACTGGCGACTTCCCAGTCACGCATGTTTAGCTTCTTACGTAAAAAGCTGTAACAATGTTCCGAGAAAGATATTTACATAAGGTCAACCTTCTTATTTTGTGCTGTATGGGATATGTTTATTCTAAGATCAAAATATAATAGAACTGGTTTTTATTGAGTTTGACAATTTATATATTATATATTGTCGTATATACGAATATCTGTTTTTTTTTTTATTTATTTACTTGCTCTTCTGCTTCGATTGTCTTCAGTTCAATTATTATCAGAGCTGAGAAACGTTGAACAGGTTATTACACGAATTTATTCATTTAACTTGCGATTTGGACGAACTCACCTGTGCTCAATTACCTGTGCAATAAAAAGATTGTTGTATTTTAAAAAATTGACAAATTCCATATATATTGCCTTCTAAAATAGAAATACTTAAATTTGCTTTGTTTTACACGCTTTAACCTTGCTGCTTGTTATGTTCAGTTGTTTCCATTCTCAAAGCTAATTATCTAAGCCAGAGCTCGGCAAAATGTGCACGCGACGGCCGATTTTCGACTATTTCCCACCGCTATTCCCCTTACCTCGCCGCTCCGCGCGCTACCTACAAGCCGTTCGAGTCTCAAGAGCGTGTTTCCAATAGTTTTCCACGTCACCCATGAAGTACTATTGTTAACGCATTTTTTTTTTTTAAGTGGTATCCCCGGTAAGCCTAATCCACTGATGACTGTAACAACCCGTAACTAATTGAACAGAAGCGAAATAAAATATGTTAAATGAAGAATATTCAATTCGATTTTCGGCGTTTTTTATTGGTAAGAGTGGAAACGTCAATTTGGATATTGCATGTAGCGAGCCGCATAAGACGTAAGGAATCGTCGCTTAACCCGTAACTGCTGTTCTCCGGTCAATTTGACCATTGCACTATTTGAAATTTAAATAACGCGGTTAATTTTCTAGTTGCGTATTCATCCGTCAGTGTATTTTTTTACATTCTGAATGTCAGTCGACTGATATACGCGCAGTTGTGTGGTCGTGTTATTTGTCAAGATATTCATCAATTCCGTTTCCTACCGGTCAATTTGACCGGTGAACAGTGTGCGCGTACTTAAAATGGCTTCACAGCAGTTACGGGTTAAAGAAGAACACTTCTCATTTTTTATAAAATTTTTCTTCATTTTTGACAAATGAAGAGGCCTACTGGGGATACCACTTAAAAAAAAACGCGTCGACAATAATACCTCATGGGTGACGTGAAAACTATTGGAAACACGCTCCTGAGGCTCGAACGGCTTGTAGGCAGCGCGCGGAGCGGCGAGGTGAAGGGAATAGCGGTGGGCGGAGATAGTCAAAAATCAGCCGTCGCGTGCATATTTTGCCGAGCTCTGATCTAAGCTAAAAAGTAGTTCAATATGTAATAAGTATTCAATGTGCAATAAGTGTCCAATATGTATTAAATGTAATAAATATGTAAAAAGTGTACAATATGTGTATAAATTTTTCGACTCATAATTTTGACCAATTATTACATTATTTGTTGTAGATAATTGAGCTAATTTTCATAAAAAAGTTGTCATATATGACATTATACGAGTATTATACTGTATGTAATATATTCACACATTAATATACCATTTTCAAGAGTTTTTATCTCAGTGGTTAAATAAATATCACCCTAACCACCTTCATTTCGAGGGACCAAAGTTGTCACGATCGTCTCCGTTCTTTTGTTAGTAACTTTTCAACAAACAGTGAGCGACGTTTCTCGTTTGCTGCAAGTTACTCGGGGATATACTTTTAACAACCTACGTCAAGCTCGTTGATCTTTGAAAAGGTTGGCTTTTTCGTCAAACATTCCCCGTGTATTTTTATTAACCTTTTTCATGCGGACATTCTGTCATACTTAAAAGCACGAAATCTGCTCGCTGAAATTACACGATTGCGATCCTTGCGTCACAGGCTCACATGCTCACAAATAATTATCCGGGACTCACCGCTTTACCTGCGTGCGCGCACACACACAAGCCCACAGCGCTGTGGTCACAGGGCGAGAGTGTCCCGGAATTTTAAGGTCAAATTAATAAACGGTACGTCACACTTCGTGACTAATGTCGTGTACGGAGGGTCGTGCGACAGGGAGAGAGAGAGAGAGAGTATATCGCGGAAATCCTGTCTACGTATCGAACTAGTGCAACGCTCCGCGTAAAATTCACGCTCAAAGTGCACCCGAAAAGTTCCCACACCGTCGGGAGAAATAACGTAAAAAAAAAAAAAAGAACAAATCGACACGAATAAGTATCATATTTATGTGATGCACAAATTTAGGTTGGCATCTGCAGGATGGGGAACAAAGGATTCGGAGCCCCTGAACAGCTTTGAGAATACGCAAGATAGAAAGAAAAACGTTAAATACAAAAGTTGCAGGGTTTCAAGTGACGCGTCGCACAGCGATACTGATATGACCTTGAACAGCGTCATCAAGGTTATGGGAAGGTCACTGTGAATTTTTTAGATGGAATTTTTTCCCCCATTTTTTATTACACCATCTTTTTCTACCACATAACTTGGGTCCCCTTTCGTCGGAAATGTTTCTTCATCTGCCCAATATTTTTTGAGATATTTGAGGGAAACTTGGTAAAACTTTTTCGATATTTGACTCACGATACCTCGGAAATTCGTCGGACTCGTCGGAAGAGAAAGCGGTACCAGACTTTTTTATTCTATTTGGCCTCAAGAATATGCTATTGCAATAGTGCCTTAACTTTTGTTAACGATTTTGAAATTTCCAAAGTGTGGGTTGAGGATGTCGCTCTGAGGACCGGAGTCTCAAACACAGAGACGTTGCATAATTCTGGTCCCCGAAGTATGGGAAAAACGCGGATCTACGTGGGGAAAAGAAGTTTGAACGAATTAACGCGACGAAGAGCGAATCGGACGCGCTTTGCTTCAAAAGGGTAAAATTTCCGGTTGTTCGGAGCTGAATTTAGGTTATAATAATCAGCAGTTCCGCTTCCTTCCGACCAAACCGCGCTCTTGCGGTTCGTTCATTGCCGCGTTAATTTAACTAAACTTCGTTCTCCATGCAGGATTTAGAAGACACGAAAAGTGAACCCGCCAGGTGAAGAGCGCTTAAAATTCCTCATCAGGCTTACGAGCGATGCAGAGAGTTTATTTGCCGGATACGCATGGCGATCGCGTGACATATATCGTATTCGATCACTTCCTGTTTGCTTTCTCAAAAAGTTTTGCAACTACTTGTCTTTCATTTTCGAGTTACCATACTGTGATCAAAATGTATCTGAACTTTATGTTTTAAAAATCGCGGGTAAACTGTAAATCAAATCCGTTTGCTTTCTAAAGTTGGTATACACATGTCCTTCACATTTGGTGAAAAAATCACGGCGTTCCTTCAAGCCGCTTGAAAGCGACAGTTGTTTATTGTGCACGGCGATTTTTACAATGTCGAAAAATATAGAGCCAAGAATTTGTTTGATATTTCGTTCACAAACGTATTCGAAATGTTGCAAAAAGCTTATGGCGATGAAAACAAGTTCGTCGAAAACAAGTACGTTTAGAAAACAAGTGGTTTAAGAAGTTTCAAGAAGGAGACGAGAATCCGTTGAAGACGACCCACGCACTGGAAGACCATCAACGTCAACGGATGACGCTCGCATTGAGAAAGTGAAAGAATTGATGCTCCAAAATCGTCGATTGACTGTGCGAGAGATAGCAGATGAAGTTGAAATATCATTTGGATCGTGCCAGCACACAATCCGTAAGAAACGATCGGAAAATTGTGGGAAAACAACTCGTGGATTCTGCATCACGACAACGCACCATCGCATACCTCGACACTTGTATGTGAATTTCTGACAGAACAATCTCAACGAATGTCGCTCCGCAAGCACCGTATTCACCAGACATGGCCCCCTGCGACTCTTTCCTGTCCCCCCTATTGAAAAAACCACTTCGCGGACAGCGTTTCGAATCGATTGAGGACCTCAGAGAAAAATGGCTGCGTGAATTGAAGGCCATACCGTCTGCCGTGTATGAACGATGTTTCCAGGACTGGATCAAACGCTGGCATATGTGCGTTGCAAGCAATGGAGACTACTTTGAAGGAGACTATAAGAATTTTGATGATTGAATTGTAATTTTGATTTTTAGAAACAAAGTTCGGATACTTTTTCATCACAGTATATCTTCCTGCCGCGAATTTATATTTATGGTAATTATGATACGTGCGTTAACGTGTCGTTAACATAGACAACGTATCGCCGTTTTAATACGAATGTCAACTGTTTTTGTTAACCTTGTGAGCACCCGTACGTCCGACAAATATTGCTGAACTACCGGAACTGAATACGCGAACTGAACGCGCATGTGATGCGAACGCGCTTTCTGATGAGTTTGCTTTTTCGATTTTTCCTGTCGGAAAAACATGAAAATTGCTCATTGTTGCCAACAATTGGTGTTCACGATCTTTCGCGATTGTTTCAGCGACTTATAATAGCGAGTAATAAAAACGAGTGATAAAAAAGATTTCATTCGTCTCGTCCATTATTTGGAACTTTTCAACAAATTACTTTTCTTACCGATGGATTTACGACAAACTCCGCGCTCTGACGAAAGAATGACGCTTGCGTGTTGAAACACGCTCGTGACATACGCATGTACAGTTCACACATTGCGCGCAATAAACGTAAATGACGTAATGGGCAATCGTTCCTATTTTTCACCACGTCAGTTTCCTTTTACATCGATTCAGGATGAGCGGTCAATTTTCATATAGCTCAGCGAGCGCAACGAGCGATCCAAGAGCCGGAATGCCTTCTCGAACGCCTCTAAAAGCTGTCAGCTAAAAGACGCTTGAAAAAATACGTCCTTAAAACAGCCCTCGGAACAGCTTGTCCTGCGAAATATCCTCGTGCGTGACACTCGCTCGTGGAGAAGATATCATCCGGGAGACATTCCCGTGATTGAACAGCAACAGCCAGCGCGTTAATATTGTATTGCAGTGGAGTCAAGCGACGAGAGTCGATTCGCCCGGCGCACTTTACGCGATAAGGGAAGCGATTCGGAGTCGCAAGGACGTCGAGGAGTACCATAGCAACGCGACAATCCACGACAAATCGCATCCGATCGAAGTCGTCGCGCCTTTTCAGGCACACCCCAGTCGAGAGACGCGCATGTGAACAACGGGCGTCCTCGAGGTCGCGACGTACGTGCGGGTCGCTGTGTGCGTGTTTTAGGGGCGCAGCCGAGTGATTTAATTTCGCGTAAAGATTACTTCTCCATTCAGCCCAGAGAAATGTTGGGCGCGTATAAAAGGCGCCGCTGTTTGACGCTGCTTAACCGGCTCTCTCGCCCCGGCTCGTTGCTCGATGAATGCGTCACGCGTCGACGAGGTACAAACGATAAGTTGCCCCATTTCAGAGTTCATCGCGTCCATACGAATAATCGACTAATCGACGAGCTGATCGACGGCCCTAATCTGTGATTAGCGAGTGCGCGCGATTAACCGCCAATATCAAAGTTAGTCGCCGTCCGCCGCCGCTGACCGTGCCCGTTGTTGCCTTATATATATATATATATATCTCTCTCAAGGTCTCCGCGCTGACATATTTCGCGAGACGATCGATCGGCGCACGGCAGTGCCGCCGTCATTGGCGCACTGTCAAATCGCGGCTCTTCGCCGAGAGTTTTATCTCGATAGCGACACGCGCCGTCCTTTCCAGATATCGTCACCGTGATAAATAGCGCGTCGCGATAACGCGCGTCATCGAAAGTCATCGCCGTCGCCGAGATCGAGAGATCACGGAGATGCGTGCGCTCGACACGTCGAAACGACGACGTTCCATTCTCGCTTTCGACCCGCGGAAGAAAGAGCTCGCGTGCTCACCGAGAAGCAGCGTTCTCGCGACGGCGGCGGCCACACGTACACACACAAACACACACACACACATACACACACGTGACTGCGATCCGATTATCGCCGGTACCAATTGCGTTTAATGATAGGCGAAGTTTCCGGTCATGAGAGCACGCGTGACAGATACGATCCGTGCGCGCAGCCGGCTGATCTCCTGCGCGGTACAGCAGCCGAGAGTGCTCGCGCGAAATGCCCCCTCCTGCCCCCCGCCCCTCCTCCTCCGCCCCGCACCACTCTCTTCTCCTTTCGAGACTCGGTCAGGTTTGGAGTTTGCGAGCGGATTCCTCTTCGGTCGCAGTCCCTCTCAGAAAATCTCGCTCACGAAACGCGCGATTGATAATCGGGCGAGCGGAGGATCCCCCCTCCCCCTCCTCCCGCGATCATCACACTCACCTTGACGACCTCGCAGAGATAATAAATGCAGAAGCCGATGCCCAGCAGCGCGCCGTAGTACAACTTGGGGATATATTGGATGCTCTCGAAAAGCTGCAGCAGCATCGTGGCGTGTTATCTGGTGACCCTGGCGGCCACCGATGGCACTCTCGCTGGCGTAGCGAGCGCGGATCTACGTCGCGTCCTCAGGCCGAGGAGACGCCGATGCTGGACTTCGCACGCTGATAGCCGGTGTTTAACGAGCGACGGCCGCGAGCGAAAGCCGGCAAAGGAAGGCTCGTCGCTGGTGTATGCATGCCGCGCGAGTAATTGGACGGCCTGCCGACTGGCTAGCTGGCTGGCGTCGGTGGAGCGGAGTCCACCGGCAGATACGGCACGACGATAACCTCCCAAGTTCGATCACGTGCGTGAAACGCACGAGCTCACAGCAACGCATATCTGCGACAAAAAGGAGGAGGAAAAGTGAGCGTGTGGCGGTGGCGGCGGCGGCGGCGGCGGCGGATGGTTGATAAATTGATGGAAATCAATTCGAGCCCGATCGAGCGCGATCGCGTTTCGTATTCCACTTTTTCGACTTCCCGGCTCATTCCTGCGGCAGCGGAGGACTCGCGCGGCGTGCCTGCGGATTTCGTCCTTGCGGCTTCCTTGATGAATCATTTAGCGCGCTTCCTCTCTCTCTCTCTCTCTCTCTCTCTCTCTCGAGCGCGCGCGCGCTTCAGATGCGGTCCTGTATACAGGCACAGACACTTGCAGCAATATTGCTGCAACGTTGCGGTAATATTGCTGCTACCGTCTGTGCTGTCCGAAACATCACAACGTTGCTGCAACTTTTGGGCTGTATGGGATATGAGGTGTTTCACCGAGATAATACTTTGAGACGGGACGTTACCTTCTGGTCTTCCCGCTCGCGAAATGCAATAGGTCTGTTTTTCTATCGCTGAACTAGTGTATACTCAGAGAACATAAAGAGAAATAGATATACATTTGGGAGTTAGTGAAAGGGAGAGAAGAAGAGAACAAGTGTAAGTTAGTACAGCCAGTCCAGCAATAGAAAACAAACCCAATGTCACTCGATCTTCCGCCGCCCTCGTTATCGTGTGAGTTGTACAACGGAAGTTTTAAAATTCTGTCGAGATTCAATGGCCGTGATAATGGGGTTATAGATCATGAAGCTTTAAACTGTGTGGATCTAGCTTGTAGTTTAATCGACTGAATATATGAAAGTTCATGTTTAGTCACAATTGAAGAAAAACGCTTGTTGCATATTTATGACGTTCGATATAGCTTCAAAGCTGTATAGCTTCAAAGCTATATCGAACATGTAAACGGTTATTTTTCGATCACGGCTAGTTGACGTACGTAAGGCAAGCAGTGGCTATCTCTTATTCGTAGAAGAGTATTTGCAAATATACGCGACTGCGATAAGTGGTACATATATTAATATTTCTTTTCACTACTTAATTTATTTATAGAGTTTTACGTAACAGGAAAACGAGATTAAATCATTATCCGATAAACGACTTTTTGCTGCGTGACCCGTGAGTGACTCGCACTATTTTATACAAAATGCGAGAGAGAGAGAGAGAGAGAGAGAGAGAGAGAGAGAGAGAGAGAGAGAGAGAAGAGAGAGAGAGAGTGCGACATTAAAGATTATAATTTTTAATTTCATAAATTATACAACTTTTAATTAAAAATTATAATTTTTACTTCCATAAATCAGACAATTTTTAATTTCCCTTGCAAACATAATTCTCGTGAAAATGCTTCATCATGTCGCGCTGATATCTTTAAGAAGACGTTCAAACTAGTATGTATGTAAGGTAAACGTAAATGAACGAATGTAAGGTAAACGTTATTACGCCACTTTAGGCAAAGACTAATATTTGAGAGTTTATTTTGAGAAAGTGGTGTTAGGTAAGACTATGAATCTTACTAAAAGTTATTATTGTAAATTAGCAAAGACACATATATAAATTAGAAATAAACAAGATTTATTCATTTATACAAAAAAAAAAAGATAAGTGCGAACTGCAAATGACGCCACTCTATCTCGTATCATATTATGTTATATAAAAACCATATCACTTTGTAATATTATACCTTTTTATCATCTTTTATTATATTTCAATCGTACAAAACTAAGACGCTTTATATTACTACCTAAAAATATCTCATTTTATCATACTATAAGATACAATGTCACTTCATAGGTTAGTAATCATTTAGAAGCAAATTCGGTCGAAAATAATCAAAAGTGACAGATCTTTGATGTGGGCTTTTGAGATTGGTTTTCACGGAAAATCACATTATATTATATTTTCGTATGCTCACTTTAGCGGAGCCATTTGACACGCTATCACGACTTCTTTCTGGTAATTTTCAAAGACACTTATTCAGCTGTGTTTTATTACACGCTTAGAACAAGCTAAGCTGACGTAAATTGGGTCAATGACGTAATTCGATATGTTCACCTCGTATCATATTTAGATATTACACCGAATAAATAAAGATAAAGTACAAACTGCCTCCTAGTTGATTCGCGGATATCAATGACGTGTGAAATCAGTGTCGAGTTGAAGTGAAATACATTAGTCATCGTGATGTGTAGCAATCAGATACACGCGTCAGGTCTTGAATCTTGTAATCACCGTGTTTCAGTGTCCTCGTTTCAAAGTGAGCAGCGACTTTGCTCGCGCAAAATCAGCTACACGCGAGATAAGCAGAGAGAGAGGGAGAGGAGAAAACTCAATGTCCTTTCACTTCGACTATTCTGCAAACGGGCTTTAATCGGACACAATCGAGCCTATCTACCAGCAGGCTCACCTTCGAATTTTTGAATCTTTGGATGACGGCGTTGTTCAATTGTCACGCTATCGTTGACCGAAACATAACAGACGGCAGAAGAGCTGCGTGACATGACAGCGTGACGGTAACGACAATATCATTCAAAATTTTGCAAAGTAAATGTACAGGTATCAGCTGACAACAACAGCTACAACAGCAAAACCAATATCTATGATATTGACTCGCGAATAAGTAATGTCAGCGGACGCATTAGAAAAGGGCAAGGACGGTGACATCGGCGGTGACGATGAATAAATTAACTTAAAATCTTCTCATTCCACATGTGAATAATCAAGCCACTGGAAACAATAATAAATGTAAAAATGTGCCGCTGCGTTCTAACAAGTTCACCGAGCCAGTCCGCCGTGCTTCACTGTGTGCAAAACAGCGGCATTCAACAACGGATCGGGTCGAGGCCGAGACAGGTGAGAGAAAACGGCTCGTATATGCTGTTATATAATCAGAAGTCTCACGAAACCCTAAGACGACTCGTGATAACCGCGGATCAATGCGAGGGTCGTTCAGGGCTCGTTCAGCGTTCGGCGAGACGAGGTTGCTCATCCTCGACGTCGCCGGCACGTCTCGCGCAAAATCCTCCACCGGGAAGCCACGTCCGAGAGCGACACCGCATTTCGACGCACACAGACGCACAAGCGTGCGTGCGTGCGTGCGTGCGCGCGCGCGCGCGCGCGCGCGCGACGCGGAAATGTCGCGAGAGCGAGAGCGAGAGCGAGAGCGCGCTGCAGATTATTACGTAACGACGACGACGTGAAGTTTGCGCGCGCTCGCGCTCGCTCCCGCCGCAACCTTCGCCGCGAAGTACCGCCGTCACCGATGCTCATCGCCGCGCGACTACCGTCCCGCCCGTGCTCTCTCACCTTCGAAACTGCGGTGGACGAGCCTCGCGAGGCCGTGCTGCTTGAGGTCGGCTCGCGGAGAAGGTCCGCGCGGATGCGCGCGCGATCGATGAAGGGACGGCCGCCGTCGCCGCCGTCGCCGCCGCCGCCGCCGCCGCCGCCGCCGTCGCGGAACGCTCGTCGTCTCGGTCTCCGCGACAGGTACCCGTTGGCGTAACTGCAGGCATCGCTGAATACCTGCAGCCCGTCGGCGCGATCAGCACCGACCGATGAGACACTCCGTGTGCCGCGCGGTGCTGCTCTCGATGGAGCGCGCTCGAGTGCTCGTGCGTTGGCAGCACCTGCCGGCTCCTCGGCGAATGTCCCGGCCATGACGATGGGAGTGACATGTGCTTGCTTGCTTGCTTCTTCGTGGATGAATCTATATCGGGTTGTTCGGATAGGAATTTCGCGAACTTCTTTGCACGAAAGTGAAAGATGATATTTTTAGTGGAAAGGATAAAGTTTTATTCTGTTAAGGATTTCATTGACCTGATTTTGTTCCAACACCTCTCTTGCCATCCTTGAGGCAATAACACGATTCCACGCTCGTCGAAGCTTCTTGTCTTTATTGACTAAGAATTGAATCAAGTGGTTTCTCATACTTTCGTTTGTATCGAAATTTTTACCATCCAAAGAATTTTGCAGTAACCGAAGTGCTAATCGGATGGTGTCAGGTCAGGGGAATATGGCGGATGCGGTAGCAAATCTATTCAAGAGCTAACAGCTTCTGGCGAGTCACTAAACTTGTGTGAGGTCTGGGCGTTGTCATGATGAAACACAACATCTTTTCTGTTCGCGAATTCTGGTCTCTTTTGCTTGATGGAATCATTCAATTTGTTCAATAGAGACAATACACATTCGAATCAATCGTTTGGTTGTTTTTGGTAGCAGCTCAGAAAAAAAATCATTCTTTTCCAATCCCACCAAACAGAGAGCGTCACCTTCGGTAAATATACAGAAAAGGGTACACCTCACCGACTTTTTTCATTTTGAAATATGTTATAAAGGATGAAATTCTGAGTGATTTTTCCTACAATACAATTATATGGGGGTCGCTTATAGTTTCTGAGATATTTGACTTTAAAGTTTTATAATTGTACGTTGAAGTATATTTGAAGTAGGCAAGCAGTGCAGGAGAAGGAGTGCGGGGGAGGGGCGGAGCCCCTCTCCCGCTTATATGTACTGTTTCCTGTATTTCTATGTATACACTATGTTTGGATTAACTGTTTGGATTGTATTGCAAATAATGGATTAACTGTTTGGATTGTACTGTAAATAACGTCAGCTTATGATATCTGGAATTTAATTGCAGGATGATCAAAATTCCAAAACTTTAAAATCAAATATCTCGGAAACTATGAGCGACCCCCCATATAGTTGTAGCAGGAAGTCACTCTACTTTCTATATATTTACCTCTACTTCAAATATACTTCAACGTACAATTATAAAACTTTAAAGTCAATTATCTCAGAAACTATAAGCGACCCCCATATAATTGTATCAGGAAAAGTTACTCAGAATTTCATCCTTTATGACATATTTCAAAATGAGAAAAATCAGTGAGGTGTACCCTTTTCTATATATTTACCTCACCTTCTTTTGATGAAAATCAGCTTTTTAATGTACTTTGAGCTGGTTCATCACGTCTGCTCCATGATCTTTTGCGTTTAATATTGTTGTACACAATCCATTATTCATCTCCAGAGTTATGAGTCGCTTCAGAAATGGATCGTTTTTCTGACGTTTTAACAGCAAATCGCAGATAGTAATGCGACGAATCAAATCTCTTTCTTTGAGAATGTGGGGAACTCAAATATCGAGCTTTAAAACGAAACCAAGTTGTCTCAAATGCTCATGTACAGTCGAATTTGATAAATTCAATCTTTCATCAATTTCTCGTGTTGTTACATGACGATTTGCGTCCATCAATGCCTTTATTTGATCTTCATCAGCCTCAACTGGTCTTCCAAAATGTGGTGCACCTTTGAGGTCGAAATCCCCAGAACGAAATTTCGAAACCAATTCTGACACTGGCTGGTTCAGTCAACACATCCTCTCCATACCCGGCACACAATTTTTTTCTTGCTTGCGCTGCATTTTTGCCTTTTCGGTAACAGAAAAGCAAAATGTGACGAAAATGCTCGCGTTGGTTTTCCATTTTTGATGCGACGCCAAACAGAAACAATTTGACAGATTCCAAAACAACCTTTTTCCGAATAAACTTTTTCTCAAATGAAACTTGAAATGTGTGTTGTAAAAATTTTAAATGACTTTTTGGTTTAGAATGAGTTAACTGTTTAGAAAGGCAACTAACGTCACTTATTTGAAAAAACCGAAATTACTTTTCGAACAACCCAATAGGATGAATGTAGGTCGCCATTATGTAAGCGCCATCATGGGCGACAATCGACGATGGGAAATCGCGGACTTTTTAAGCGCAGCTATGAAGGAAATGTACCGTATTGATCGATCGTTGAATTTGTGTCGCTCAACGAAATGGATTGTTTGGTCAAGCAACCTTGACAGATATTTCGTCAAGGTTGCTTCCGAAGGTTTGCTCGGAAATCTTTCGGATTTTCTTGCAAGCTTTTCTGAAAGCCGCGATTTCCATGTCGCGTCCCACGCGACGTTTTAGCCCGAGCGAGTTTCTTCGGCCATTTTTCCCGCGTTTCTCTTGTATTTCTATTTCATCCCGCGTGACAAATGTGAGTGTCGTATCTTTAAATATCGCGAAGAAAAATGTTTGATCGAGTGGACCAATTTTCCGGTGAGATACGAACGGTTCAGACACCCCGATTGAAAATGCCGGAATTCCGCTCGAGGGTTCAGTGGAAATCTTTAGGTGATAAAATTTAGGCCGAATTCTCATTACTTCAACCGGGATTTCCGTTCGAGCCAAGGATTTCCTCGTAGCCGCCGAATTAACGTTACATCTGTCTACCTGGGGGGAGGGGCAAATTCGTGGGGGTGTATGTATATGCGACTTGCGGTGTGCGTTCCATCGGGAATCAATTATCGAAGGTCACTGTCGGTTCTGGCGGTTGAGACCCTGCAGCGCGGTTCAGCGGTGTCGTCACAGAATCGAAGTCTTCGTCTCCTCCCTCCTGCCGGCAAGTCTGAGCTTGAAACTTTGCGCGGTTGCGCGGCGAACTTTGTTCGAATGAATAAAACCGTACACGTGTATTTCCTCTAAGCCATTCGATCGTCGTAATTGAATATGTAATTAGACACACAGAGAAAGAGGGAGGGAGAGAGAGAGAGAGAGAGAGAGGATGGGGGAAGGGAGAGGGAGAGCCTTTTTGCCGCTTATCAAATTTTTACCGATCCCCGATCGTTGGCCCGCTTAACGGTTCGTGTACTGCAAAATTCAAGTGAAATCAATCGAGCGTAAAGCGAATCAAACGAATGGAAACGCGGTATCGATGGGTACGGCGGGTGCATATTTCATGGATCAAACGTGGGGAAGAGTAATGCGAACTTCCCGTCGAATTTGTACGTACGGGACCTGCATGATCATCTTTCAATAAATGGCAATATATTAGTGCAACAGTGGCCGTGTGATATGCATAAATGAAACTGGTATGCCGCCTGTAATGGATCTTTAATGAAAATATGTGCGCGCCTGTGTGTGCCCGTGCGGGCGCGTCAGATTTAAATTTTCTATCGCATCGTTAAATGTAAATGGCATAATTACGGATAACTATATCTGCCGGCGAATGAATTGCAGAGTGAGAGAGAGAGAGAGAGAGAGAGAGAGAGAGAGAGAATTTTCTACGCTCGCAGCGTGAACACTCTCTCTCTCTCTCTCTCTCTCTCTCTCTCTCTCTCTCTCTTCAGATACACACCGTGCTATCGAAGTTGTTGATCTCATAGGGTATAACTCATGCTGACTTATCGGTGTAATTTTGCAGATTACACGTCGGGTTTGTACGCGTACACATGCACACATTGTTCGTCGCGATACGCGCATTTTTTCTATCGCACGCGGCTAATAGCGAAAACAGTTATTTAGCGTTATCGAAGTATCTGTGGGCAGGATCGAATCTAAATTCGAAATAAGCGAATTTCGCGCAACTCGCACAGCGACGTAGTGTCGTCGCTAGTATTAACTGCAAAATTTATGGTCGGTCGAATAACGCAGCACCGCGAAGTACGTGCGTTCGGAAGTATCCGTGATAAGGATCTAATTCCTACATACCCAGATCGTTTATTTTAGATCCAATCTAGAGGTAATGTCATCCAGTTTCGCGTAGCGCGACCCCGGGAGATTATTTCCGAAAGTTCGTGACTGATCGGTGTGAGAGAGAGAGAGAGAGAGAGACGTCGCCATTTATCCGATTAATCGCGATCGCAGTGGAGAAGATTGATCCTGGAAGCAAAGCGATAAACTCTCGCGCAATCGCTGTCGATACAGCTTCACGCATAACCGAGATATGACTTACGGAATTCCGCGCAGCAAGTGTGAATGACCACGCACTGTCGAGCACGTGGTCGGGAGACCACGCCTATCGCCTCGCACGTGGTCTAAGCGGCAGCGTGGTGGGGGCAAGTCCGGGTTACGAAACACGGAGACACTATAGGTCTATTCGCTTTCGACCGGTGACGTATTCGAGTGAGTGGGTTTCAATCCACCAGGAGTCGATTAAGATTCTCGGGTCGAACAGTACGAGTAGCTCTATTGGCCAAGCCTTGTGATTGGCCAATAGAGTTTTGTGACGTCATTAATCGACCCCGGGTGAGATAAGACCCATTCACTCGAATATGCCATGAACTGGGTTGCCGTTTTTGCCGTTGGAATAAAATAAGTGTATAAATCCGCGTTGAAAAAGACAGGAACATAGTTTCAGTGCAGTGCTAGTTCAGCCACAGACCTGAGTCCTTGGGTCCTGTTCTTTGCGGCTGAATTAGCGCACACTTGTGGAACTTGAAGAAGAAGATATACAGCTGCGATTTGGTGTAAAAAAGAGGGAAGGAGAATTAGTACAAGCTGATGGAGCCACAGTTCAGCCACAAAGAACAGACCTATTGTTGTTGCGCGCTCTCGCTTGTGCTTATACCTGCAGTGAGCGAGAAGACATTGACCTCGCGCAAGTAGCGACGAGCGATCTATGGAACGTGACTCAGTACATCTTCGTTTTTGGGGGCCGTAAGAGCTTCAGGTGGGTCTCATTAGAAAGCTGAGGTTCTCGCGCATCTCACTGACGCGTAGTCGTTTCTCTTGCCGTTTTGGCATCTTTTACTAAAACGGAATGCAGCGGAATAATGTCATCCTATTGATAGCACTGAAATAACATGCATAGTTATAGACAAAATGGTGTCATGTTAACCGAGGAATTGTTGGGTTGATACGTGTTATTAACGTAGCTTTACAAACCCTCGAGTTATTGATTACAAAATTTTTAGTGTAGATGTGCGCAAAAATGTAACGTCACCAACCAAGAGCAATCGAGATAACGATTGGCAGAGTCCAATCTAGAGGCAAAATATTGGATATTTATATGGCGCAATATCGACGTGGCCAAAGCTATTATATTAATTATAGAATTATCTAATGAATACACGGAGAGAAATATTTGTTTGAACAAACTACCTTTCTGGTGAAATATGAACAACTCTGGTATTTCTCGGAACGATGTTGGTATTTCTGGTATCTGCAATCGAAATTTTCCTATCATTTATATTTCATCGGAAAATTGTTTCATTCAACCAAATATTTCTCTCTCTCTCTCTCTGTATGGATATAAAACTGACGCTTCTCCAATTGCAATCGAGATATCTGATGAGTGTAAAGGAACGAATGTATGAATAAAACAACTTTTCGACAAAGTTCGATTCACACAACGTTATTTTGAATATAATCGTCGATGCATCGTTTACGACGTTGATATTGACAGAAGAATACGATATGTTGCGGCGAAAATTTTTGGAGCGTATTTTCCTTATTTTTCCCCTCAATGTGTGTGTGTGTGTGTGTGTGTGTGTGTGTGTGTGTGTGACCTTTCCCTTGTCAAATGTCCCGTCTTCTATGTATTCTTGCATCGATAATAACGACGCTCGATTAATTTCCATTTCACGGTTAACACGTCGTTGGCCGCTGTCATGGCGTAAAAAGTGACAATGTTGACTCAACTCTGCCTGTACTCAACTTTGCTCTGTGACAGCGCATCGCATAAAACGTCCCATCGAGGCACCGTGCTGTTAACCGCCGAAAGATATCCGCATGGCGACACAGTCTATCATCGTATTATCGAGCACCGACATCGCGTTGCATCGATCAGTAGCATCGACGCTGCTTGAATAAACGACGCCAGTTATCGCGATTGACCCGCAGGCCAGACGTGTCATCGCGAACGAGCGACGCGAGTGAGAAAGTTGGCACGTGTATCAAGAAGGATCGACGAAACTTTATTAAACACAGTCTTTTACAATTTATGACTAAAGCAACACGAATCAGCGCGTTATCGTCGCTGCGCGATAATCCGAGATCGAGGACGACTATGGGTACGCGCGAAATTTCAGTGACATTGATCCTCGAACCCGAAATCGAGGAACGTCTCTCGTTTGCTAATCCGTTGCGTATCTTTCCCTCTAATTGAATTCTACTGTTGCGATTTCTCTCCTTTTCCCCCCGCAATCTTTCTTCATCTAACGCCGTTCATTGCTAGCTGATCGTTCCAACACCCGCCTAAGCGCACTACTTTATCGAGTTGGATACAACAAGACATTTAGAGCGACAATCAATCCTTACGATATGTACAAAAAAAAAAGAAAGACAGTATAATATATATTATATACAAAACCGAGTATTTATGAGACTTACTTGTTAAGCAACATCTCAATGCGGGTGTATCTTCTAAGAACGCAAGCTACACACGTCAGATCTGGCCTTAAGTGCTATGACTAAAAAGATAATGCCACAAAAGTATAAATCGCCCATTGGTATCGCTGCGCCATGACTTGTACGGAGATGTCGCGCGATAGTAGTATTCAACAGCAGTAGTGACTCGGCTCATAATTTCTGTTTATGCTTGCATATTTTGTAGTAGTAGACGTTCAACATCGGGTGCTGGTAGGTCGTCGCGTATCATGAGCGCCGACTGCAGTTGGACTCGCGGACATATTTGGCCCAGGTACGCGACGGTGTGAACAGACTGGGGTAGTGCTTGCGACTCGCGGCTGCCTGACTACCGGCCGTCATGCTTCGATAGGTCTCTTCATTATAGGAGCAGGAGAGATTCTTCCGTCGTTTCGCGGAGCCGGTCTCGAAGTTGGCCGGCTGGCTGCCGACCAGCACGTGGAGGTCGCCCTTCTCTTGCACGGCCCAGTCCCACGTCTCCGCGATGGAGCAGTTGCAGATGAACGGATTGCCCATAAGATTGATGGACAACAAGCGCGGGTTCGAGCCAAACACACTCGGATTGATCGTGCTCAGGTTGTTGTTGCTCAGATCTACGTGCTCCAACGCGTGCAGCTTCCTCAGAGAACTAAGGTTCTCCACGCCGGAGATGGTGTTTCCCGAGAGATTTAGCTGCGTGAGATTGTTGATCGCGGCGAATATGTTCTCGTTCAGATGGGAGATGCCGCAGTTACTGAGATCCAGAATCTCCAGATTGGACAGCTGCGTCGATAACAGCGAGCCCTCGTCGGGCACGCTCAGCGGATTACCGCTGAGCTTGAGCTCGATTATGTTCGTCGAGAGGCGATTGCCGAAGACCTTTGGGTCCAGCGGTACTTTCAGGTCGCAGTTGTTCAGTTCCAAGCTCTCCAGGCGCGTCAGGTTCGCGAACAGTCCTTCCTGCAGCGTGTGTAGCTCGTTGCCCGAGAGGATCAGTTGCTTCAGCGAGGTCATTTGCGCGAAAGTATTGTTGCCGACGTAACCGAGGTCGCAGTACGACATGTCCAAGTACTCGAGCGATCTTAACGGATTCAGGAGACTGACGAATGCGTCGGAAAGTGGATTATGGGAGATATCGAGCTCCTCGAGATTCTCGAAGATGTCGAAGGCATTCGGCAATCTCCGCAGGCTGCAATTGCTGAGGGAGAGCTTATGGAGCTTCGGCAAGTGGCGGAGGACGGCGGTCAAGTCGCTGGCGAACATCGGATTGCCGCTCAGGTTCAACACACGCAGCTTGCTCGCGTTTCTGAAGGCCTCCTCGGACAGGCGATCTTGCAGATTGCAATTCGACAGGTCCAGCGACTGAAGACTGTGCAGATTGTGACCGAGGGTGTCTTCGACGTCCAAATGCCACAGCTCATTGTCCGCGAGGACCAATTGTCGCAGATACAAGTTCTTGGCGAAGGCGTCGCCCGGTAAGTTCGTGACGCCGGTGTCGCGGATATCGAGATGCTCCAAGCGCACCAACGGCGCGAGAAGGTTCCGCCAATTCAACGTCTTCAGCGCGTTGTCCGCTATCTCCAGCTGTCGCAAATTTTCCAGGTGGGAAAACGCCTCGGAGGATATGTAGGTTAAGTTGCATCCGTTCAGCTTGAGATATTCCATGTTCGTGAGGTGATCGAACGGACCCGGCTCGATCCTCTGCAGGGGATTGTGCGACAGGTCGAGCTTATTCAAATTCGTCGTGTTGTAGAAGAAGCGCGTGTCGAGCTGGCGGATACCGCACGAATTCAGGTCGAGGTAGAGCAGCGTACGGCAATTGAGGAACGGTCCCTCGACCACGTCCAGGGGGTTGTGTTGCAGCTCCAACGTGATCAGACCCGGGCTGTCCCTGTTGAATTGATCGCATCATTGACAAGCATGAGCCAGCACGCTGAAATAAAACGAGCGATCGCGCTCGCGCGAGTGTGACCGACAACGCGTATTTGCTGATCTTTACCGGAACGCCTCGGGATCGACGCGCCTGATGGCGTTGTGCGAGAAGTCCGCGTCCAGGAGGTACGTTAATCCGGCGAAGGATTCGTACGACAGCTCGGTCAATCGGTTGTGCGCCATCTGGAGGCGCCTCAGCTTGATGGAGCTGGGAAACGGGCCGAGGTCTGCGATATTATTATCGTTCATGTCTAAGATATAGACGTTCTGGCTGAGCTCGCCGTACGGGATGGTCGTCAGGTTGCTATCCGAGCAGTCCGTCACCCAGTTGATGCGAAAGTAGTGACAGTGGCAGTCTACTGGGCACTCTTGCTCCAGCAGCTCCTCCTCGTTCAGGCCGAACGTCGAAGCGACCAGGCACACCACGAGCAGACGCAACACCCTCATCTTGACCATCGCGCGATCTGCGGTCAACAGCAAAATAATGATACACGATCAGTGCGCGTAGTCGAGCCTCCGCGCGCGTTTCAGTCATCGGTAAACGCGGACACGTACGCGTTTTCATCGTCATAGTGATGTCGTACAAAAGACGAGAATCTCCCGCGTATTCGGAGAGAGATCAGCATTTCCGCTTTTCTCCCTCCCGTGGAAGTTCAATTCTTGCTCATGCGCGAGCAAGCAAGCACATATACACAGATATTTCGGAATGCGCCAGGTGATGTACCAAAAAATACGCCGCTCTCGGTGTTGCTGCACCACGTCTCCGTCCGGACGCGCGGAGAGAGGCACGCAATCGGAGAACACGCGAGATATCTCCGTAGTTCCAGCGCGACGCCTTAATCCACGTAAATGAGTCAGCCCGGCACGGCGGGGAGTCGTGCCGGGCGGGAGAGAGCCGCGTAAATTGCGAGCACGTTCATCTTATTCATCGCGATGACGAATCACGTTCGGCTAAGTTTTTACGCTGGCGGAGGAGTGCATTACAAGGAAACGCGCCGACGCCTTTGGCCGCTAGACAACTCTTCACGCTCGAAGTCGGGAATAGGGCTTTCCGCCAGAATGGTACGCGTTGCACGCTCGGCTGCACCCCGGAGAAGACAGAGAGAGGGAGGAAAGGGCGAAAGAGAGAGAGAGAGAGAGAGAGAGAGAGAGAGAGAGAGAGAGAAAGAGAACCAAAGCCCTTGCTACGGGACGAGAGCTCGCCTTCGACCGCGAGAGCACCACCATTACCGCCGACGTACATTTGCTTCTTCGAAACTGCCAACAATCGCCGCGCGCCATATTTCTGGGCATCGGCTCGCCTCCGGCGCCACGATTCTTTAGTTTTCGAATGCCTGCTCTCCCGGCTCCGGTCGCGAGAAAGCGCTGCGTGTCGGGGATAAAATCATTTGCATACCGATTCCCTCATGTCTCTCATTTCCCCCCTCTCTCTCTCTCTCTCTCTCTCTCTCTCTCTCTCTCTCTTTCTCTCTCACTCGCTCGCTCGCTCGCTGCTCTGTTTCTCTTGGACGAGAGACACCGGCGCTTTTTGCGAGTGTCGCCTTTCTTTATGCGACAGCGTTTTGACTGGGGATTTCCAGGCAGCCGGCCGCCCTCCGGCTCCTCCGGGATCCTCCCGAGCGGAATTTACGCGTTGACGGAAGCGTTCGTTAAATCAATGGATTCGAACGCGCCGGGATATTTTCTCCGTTTCCGTTTGCACCCTCCTGCGAATCTCTCTCTTTCTCTCTCTCTCTCTCCCTCCCTCCCTCTCTCTCTCTCTCTCTCTCTCTCTCTCTCTCTCTCTCTCTCTCTCTTTCTGTTTCTCCATCTCCCTCTCCGTCTCGTCGCGCCGTTTCGGCGGACGGATTGCATTTAATATACACGGCGCTATTGTTCTCGCTCGCTGAGGGCACACTTGTCAAATCGATATCGCTGTCTACATCCGACGTCTCCGAGGAATGATACCGCCGCTGACGGCTGGGAATCATAGGACGTCAGGATATACGCCATCACGTCAGGGATCCTGCGAGGCTGGATCGCGTAAGGTCGTCCCATCGGATCGGGATGATCTCGGGGCGCGCGATTCGTCCTGTATCCTATCGAGATAAATAACTGTATACGTTTGTAGTCTTTGTTTGAGTATCTTACCCCGCAAGAGCCATTTCGATTTCCTTCAGGAGGACAACACAATTTCACCGATACGGTGCTGTTTTTATTGACCCGAGAGATGAAATGGCCTTATATCGTGTTGCACCGTTCCGAGGAAAAGAGAGAGAAAGAGAGAGAGAGAGAGAGAGAGAGAGAGAGAAACACAGAGCCAAGTTTATTAAATTTCGCGCGAACAAAGTCTCTCTTTCCTCCCACCCCCCTCCGCCTCTCTAGTCTGCATGTTGCATTAGCCGTTGCATAAGAACGCTTGGTAACATCATTACGCGAATTGACGGATGTTCTATGAAGGCGATACTCACGCAAATGGATAATTCGTACACTCCGCCGGTGAATGTCGAATTGCGTTGCGCGAATTCCATTACGCATATTAATATAATATAATATAACGCGCATGTATGTTTCGTTCGGCCGACGCGCGGGAGCGGAAAGGTACGGGTGTTAATTGAGACGTTTGCGACTTCTCGGGAAACCACGGCAATGCGGTGTCGAGGTCACGTAATTTAGGAAGTGAACGTTAAGATGTGTAACAAACGCGTCATATGCGCGCGTCTCTTCTGCGTGCCGTTTCTCGCGCGACCCGAGTAGAAAAATTAATAGATAAGGGCCTGATTATTTTTAACATTAATCAAGCCCTAACATTAATGAAGCGCTAGTAGGGATAGAAAGACAAGGGCCCTACAAGATGTGTACAAATGATGAACAAATGATTTAACGGGTCCGTATAAGGCAATATTATTATTATAAGGACCTTATAAAGTACGAGGGCAGTCTGAAAAGTTCTCGGCCTAACAATGAAAGAAAATTTTTTTTGCCGTGAAATATGTTTTATTTTTCAATATAATCTCCTGAAACTTCGATACATTTATTCCAACGTCTTTCCGATAATTCAATACCATTCAACACGTATTATAAAGTAATAGCCTTATTATAAAGTAATATCAATAAGACTATTATCTCATTAATTTTCTGTAACAAAACTTGATATCCTCTTAAAAGATCTTTCTAAGGCCCATATCAGTTTTCCATGTTAAAGAGTTATTTTGTGAAATTTAAGGCATCCCTAAAAATTCCTTCTAAGGCCCTTCTCAGTTTTCCCTACCAAAGCCTTATTTATTAAATCTAAGGCATCTTTAAAAAAATCCTTTTAAGGCCCTTCTCAGCTTTCCCTATCAAAGCCTTATTTATCAAGACCTAAAGCATCCTTAATAAATCCTTCCAAGGCCCACATCAGTTTCCCATGTTAAACCTTACAAGACAATATATTAATAGGGCTATTAACTTATTAATTTTCTATGACAAAACTTGATTTTGCATATCTAAAGCATCCTTTTAAAAGATCCTTTTAAGGCCCACATCAGTTTTCCATGTTAAAGAGTTATTTTGTAAAATCTAAGGCATCCCTAAAACAATCCCTTCGAGTTCTCCCTTCTCAGTTTTTCCTATGAAAGGTGTACGTAAAATTTCTTTACTGCGTAAAATCTAAGATATATCCCTAAAAGATTCATCTCGGGCCCTAATGTGATAATAATGAGGCATCCCTTTTTAAAGCATCCTACCTTCAGCCTAATCGGGGCCTTATGAGAATGGCCCTGACAATTCTTTACTCGCGCGAGTCGATACGCAGTGGGCGAGAGAGGAGGGGACGCGCGTTTTCGTACGTTCACACAATGACGCGCAGTCAATATCACGTGAAATTGCAATGTACAATTGTGCGATCGTAGAGCGGGGCGAGCGCGGTATCGACATTGCCGATTCAAGCCTGAGCGGTATCGAGTGAATTTTTCGCAAGACCGAGAGAGAGCGAGAGCGAGAGCGAGAGAGAGAGAGAGAAAGAGAGAGAGAGAGAGAGAGAGAGAGGGAGAGAGAGAGAGAGGGGGGGAGAGAGAGAGAGAGGGGGGGAGAGAGAGAGAGAGAGAGAGAGAGAGAGTCAGTAGCTCGTTCGGTGAAATTCACCCGGGTTTTTGCGCAATTATCGAGCGGTTTTAGGATGTAAAAGCGTTTAGTTTGGCGGATTTAATTGGGGCCTTGTTGAATTCGCGGTATTTGCTTTTTCAACTCTAGCGGAAAATTTCAAATTAGTTGATTACATCGTTTCTCCGGTCAAAGCCTCAATTGTACGTATTGCACATCGCGCCGGTTACTCGCGCAAATACACACCGCGGCCGCGCGTACGTGTTTTACTGCAAAGCGCCCGCGATTGTCCGGGGTGTAATTAAAAATAGCGCAGAGACGCGCGTCCTGCCGCGTTTACGGGGAAGCGCGATCGCGATTACGGCGCGACAAACGGGTAAGCGGAGTCGCAGTCATTGCGCGCACGTAGAGTCGCGCGCGGCCGCGAACGACAAAACGGAACACCTGTTTCCCGAACTTACGCGGAGAGTCGCGCGGTTTTACGACATCATCGACGCGATACGGATCGAGCGCGTTTCGCCGCCACGGAGCGCCCCGGGCCGCCAGTATTTCTCGTGACTGCAGCCACCGTGAGAAACGACCGCGCCACGAGCTTTCCGCTGCAAGCTCGCGCACGAGAGAAGTATTCACGGCATATTTCATTCTCCGTGCATCAAACGCGACGTCTCTCGCGCGCGCATTAGTCCGCGTCAGAGCGGCCGAGGCGCGCTCTGTTGCATGGATAACCTCCTCTCCGTGGATTCATATTTGCGAACGGGGGAGTTATTGGGTCGTTCGGAAAGTAGTTTCGGTTTTTCTTTGCATGAAAATGAAAGACGATATTTTTAATAGAAGGAGTAGTTTTATTCTGTCAAGTGTCGACCACCTTGTTCTATTGTAATATCTTTTACCGTCTTTGAAGTAACGATATGATTCCACGCTCGTAGAAGATTCCACGCTGGTCCTTATTGGCAAAAAACTGAATAATAGAGATGTGCGAACTATTCGAATTCGAATCGAATCGAATCGAATTACATTAGATTCGATTCGAATCCGAATCCCTATGATTCGAATCCGAATAATTCGAAAATCTCGAATCGCGAAGATTCGAATACGAATCACATATATTAGCGTTTGTGCGTATCAGTTATAAAACCAGGCCATCTGGGCCTGTATATTTGAACCCTTAACTTACTTTTAATTAATTATTAATTAATAATGTTTAATTACCGTAATTAACCTAACTTATAATTAATAACTTAATTATAAATTACTATAAATATTTAAATATATATTTTATTTTAAGATAATATTACAATATTAATATTCCCTTTCATATTAAAATCTTCCATCATTATTTGCACGTTTAATATTCATGTTAAATTTTTTAATGGTTCGATTCGATTTGATTCGAATTCGAATG